GGCATATACCATAATTCCCATGGTTTAGGCTCCTTAAGGTAATGCAGGATTTATATCATCAACCGAAACAATATAATTATTGGTGTCGGAGTCTCAAATATATGTATGGACCCCAAACCTCGAGCCGTCCCGCCTACGGGAGTGTAGGGAACCCTTAACCCTAAACCCTACCTAAACCCTAAACCTTGAAGCCGCATCTTCAAGTCCTGTCGAGGCTTGTGCCTTCGCATCATGTTGGAGCCACAGCAATCAGGGTCAGGGTTTAGGGTTTCGGGTTTAGGGTTAAGGCTTTAGGGAGGGGTCCGGTTAGGGTGCTTGCGGGGTTTAGGCTCCTGTAGGGTTTAGGTTTTGGTTTTGTGACCAGGATCATCCACCAGAGAGCGCCGGAGAACTCCGTATATAGAGTTCGAAGCCTTGTATTGAATATACTTATATATATATATTACACATACCTATACATACCCCCGTACACACACATGCGCACACACACACACATATGTGTGTGTGTGCGCACACATACACATTTGTAGAACATACATGTATGTATATATATACACACACATTCTATACATGTGTCAGGTTGTACGCAAACACACAGAACGTTTACGCCTACACGGTTTCAGAATCTTGGACCCTTGGAGGTAGTTGCGGGGTTGTGGGGCTAACTTGTGGTGGAAAGCTTCCATTTGCAAGTGGGTTTTCGGTTTTGCACTGAAAGGTAAACCCTACCCATAGGCCCCTGAGTAGCTCCTTTTTATTGTTTATATTTAGAATCCTGTAAGGTAATCCCAAAAAGGAACTACTTAGGGGCCTATGGGTAAACCCAAGATTTCCAATTGTTGCAGTGTATGGGTTTGGTTCGTTTCAGGTCCCATGAGGCTCAGTTCTTGCGCTTCTTGCTCCGAAGCTTGCAACTGGTATTGCCGAGGAGCCTCGCAGCCGTTGGTAGCCACGATGGTTCAAAGCACTGCCGATGCAGTAGGCGCGTGTGGAAATATCAGAAGCATTTCTTCTGCCATTGGCAAAAATGGTCGGCTGAGTCAATGGCACAAAGCTCTTTGGCTACTGAGCGAGTGGGGAGCCATGGGCGGGGAGAAGAATGCAGCTAGGCCCCTCAACAGCACGTGCTGTATTTTTCGGGTGGGCGCCCATAGGTCAATGTAGCGAATCACCTCATCCCCAAACCCTACAAGTCTTAAATCCCTAAACCCTCAACCCTAAACCCCTAAACCCTAAAACCCTAAAACCCTAAACCCTAATCAAACTCAATGGAGTGCTTCATAGCTAGTGCCCCAGGTTCTGCTTTTTGGTGCGGCCATCAGTGCATGCGAGAAGGGAGGCCGCTGGGAGCTGGCATTGGCTTTGTTACTTAGTAGTGATTAGAGTAGGTAACCTTTTATGTTTTGGTGGTCAAGTAGGCTTTTTTGTTCAGGGCTTTGGGTTTAGGATTTGGGTATTAAGATGTCTAGGCTTGAAGACTCGAAGTTTGGGTTTAGGGTTTACCCATAGGCCCCTTAAGTAGTTCCTTGTTATGGGTTTATAATGTAGGAACCTATAAGGCAATCCCAAAAAGGAACTGCTTAGAGGCCTACGGGTATGTAACCTTTAGTTTTTTGGGGAAAGTAGGCTTTAGGATTCAGGATTACCTTTCCGGAGGTATTATGCTTCATAATCCCTATCTAATCCCCAATGTTGACCTTTGCTTCCCCTATGATACTGGACAACTAAGGTTATCAGAGCTCCTGCAAGAAGAGCTGGAAAGCAATGTTGTTACATACAGCTCGGCAATAAGTGCATGCGACAAGGGGGGACAATGGCGGCGCTCTGTGCACTTGCTGGCAGAGCTCTTGGAGGTGGATTTGCAGCCAAATGTGATCACTTGTACTTCTGTTGTTAGCTCCTGTGGCAAGAGTGAGCAATGGAAGCAAGCGCTTTACACTTTCAAGGACATGCAGGAGCGAGGTTTTAGGGCTTAGCATCCAGTGCGTCGGCTTCTTTATCAAGATTCGATCCCCAAGAAAGCGACATGTTGATAAGCAGTATAGAATTTTCGAATGGAGGTTCAACAACATAGCATCTCACCGGGAACTGCAATTCTAATTTGAACCTGAGCCTGGATTGCTCAACCTATACTGAGTGCTGAAACCCTAAACCCCTATCCCTAAGCTACTGACTCCTATGCTATACTTTGATTATAACAGGGACCCTAAGTACTGCCATTGGTATTTAGTCATCCTGGACCCTAGTCGATGTGCTCAAGGACAGATCTGTGCAGATGAGCATGATTGCATATAATGCGGCCATCTCGGCGTGCGAGCGCGGGAGCCAGTGGCAGTCTGCCCTGCATCTGCTCGAAGAGATCCACGCCTCGACTGGGAGTTTCGTAACACTACGGGGACGGTTTTCGGCTTTCGGCTTGTAGGCTGCCGGGGTTTAAGGGGGCTTTTATTTTGGCTATAAATACACATCCTACTGTTCCACCTGAGTTCTATAAAGGGTCCCGAGTTGTTCAAGCTCACAGTTGTTCGTCTTCATTGTTGGTTACGGCAGTTCATATATCTAGCCAGTATTGGAGTTACAGCAACCAAAGTTCCTGTCAATGCTGGCAGTTCATGTAATTTTCATGCTCGAGACTGACCAGGTAGTATTATTTTATGATAGCTCCCAGGACAGTGCTGCAAGACTCGAATCTCTCACTTCGGCACTAAACCGCCTCCAAACTCCAAACTAGCGAAGTGCGCGCAGGGTGTGTGTTGGTACTTGCGGGAATCGAGTGTCCTGAGCTTCAGCTTTAAAAGCCACTTAGGCTTCAGGGTGGGCTTGATAGGGCTTAGTTAGGGTCTCGAATTATGTTTAAGTTCAGGTTGGTACCCGATGGCCTGCAACTGGTTTCGTCGCATCTAGCATAGTCCGTGTTTCACTGGAGGCCCTCGAAACGAGTTGAAACATGACATTTGGGTTTAGGGTGTAGCAGCAAACCCTAAACCCCAAAACCATAAACCCCCTAAGCCCAAAACCCTCAAACCCTAAACCCTAAACTTTGCCCTAAACCTACGTACACCAAAGTCTTCACATGAGCACGCGGCTTAGACACGAGGAGTGGTCAGAGGAATTTGGAATCTGATATCATCTCGCAGAATGCTGCCTTGACTGCTTTGGAGACGCCCGGCACGGATCGAGCTCTTGGTGTTACCCATAGGCCCTTAAGTAGGTCCTTTTTATGGGTTTATAATTTAGAATCCTAAAAGGTAATCCCAAAAAAGGAACTGCTTAGGGGCCTATGGGTAAGGGGCTTGTGGGGCTAATGTATGCGGACACCTGTTGAAGGTTCCTGGTTGCATACCACATGCAGTGAGGGGTGTGTGCTGTTGATGGGATGTCGTGTGTGCTGTGCGTACACAGGTGTTTGGAGTTCCGGAATGTGTGATGATGTGCGGCTTGGTTCGACCCGAGGTCCCTTAATTGCAGATTTAGGACTTTAGGGCTTTAGGGTTTCGTTTAGGGTTTAGGGTTGTTCCCATACTTGCAGATTTAGGACTTTAGGGCTTTAGGGTTTCGTTTAGGGTTTAGGGTTGGCCGACGACCCTAATATCCGAAACCCCAAGAAGACCTCTTGTTCAACCCCAAGCCCTGAACCCGAAAACTTACATCCTAGACACAGGAGGCCCCGGCCTTTTTTGTCTAGGATGTAGGCTTAAGCCCTTACCCCTTAAACTTTGCATATACTTTGCTTGCAGAAGCTTCAAGAGAGCCCTTTAGAAGGAATCTTATAGGCCTTGCTTTGGCCTCTTCCTAGACCCCAGAATGTAGTACCCTTGTTGGAATAACTCGCTTTATGGCACATCAAGAAACTCAGGTAACCAACAAAGGTGCTGCATCCTGGGCTAAACCCTAAACCCTAAACCCTTAGACCCTAAAACCTAAACCGCCAGGAAGTCGGCACTCTGGCAGCGTGCTTTGAACCTTTTCTATGGAATTTACGAACAGCGACTCTTGGCCCTTTTGATCGCTTAGGGTCGAAAAGCCTAAACCATCGTAAACCTAAATCCCCTAAACCCTAAGCAATCCCTAAACCCTAAATCTAAATCCCTAAACCCCGAAACCCTAAATCTAAATCCCTAAGCC